AATGCATATTATCATATTGCTATCTATTTAACAGATAAAAAATATGGAGGAAAAGGAGAACGCAAAAGCTGTCACAGCATTTATTGTAGCATACCTTCTGCGTTTCACGCTTTGTTGTCGAAGTTTGAACTGTCAAGCAAAGCGAGGAAAGTCGTATCTGAATGGCCCTTTGTCCTCCATATTTTGGCCCATATTATGAGTTGCATTCGAGCTTGAGTTGATTATGAGCTATGCAACCGTGTCGAAATTTTCGTTAAGTATCGAATTTTCTGCCGAACAGAATTTCGCTTTCGTTGGTGTAGCGAAGTGTTAGAAAAGTGTTAAAAATGTATGATTTTGCATTTGTTTTCATACTTTTTGGCGGCTAGACACTAATTTTAAACAAGTTTTTATCAATTTCATGCAGTTTTAACGTCGTGAATACAAAACACAAGCTCGAAAGGCTAGTTTCACTTGTGAGAACAAAATCGTAGAGCTGTTGATAGTTTTAAAGGTAATTCTCTAGTATAGGGCTGCAATTGCTAAAAAAAGCTCCGAAAAAGTCGGGAGGGGTACCAAACGACGCGTTTCGGTCCCCCTATTAACAATCCGGAGGGGGAGGGCTAATATTAATAAACATTTAAAATTGTAAACAAAAAACTTTTGTTAAATTTCGTTGTTTTCTATGAGCAATTACCACGTCAAAAATGCACTAAATCACCAGTTAACACTTTTAAAACTCTATTAAAACGTCTCCGGTTATTGTTTTATGCAAACAAAATCATTTATTCACCTTCATTTTATATTTTTCTTTAATAAAACAGAGTAAACAAACTTTGCGCCTGCCAAAATTATTATAACCTCAAATCGCTGCTATTGCCACTTTATTTCAAATTCATTAACGCTTTTATCCTCTGTTTACACTATGCACTGCTCCCAATTTGAGGTCAAATTTATATATATATGCGGTTTTCTTAAAAATGAGTTAAATATATATATTTAACAGAGATATTTATTTTGCGTGCTATAATAGATCGTAGCTAAATATAAACTACTTAGTTTTCAATAAAAAACCTTATCCAATAATAAATTTCAAATATTTTAAACGTATTTTGAATAGGAACTTATAACTTTTTTACCATCTGCAAAACTGGCGGAGTGCCAAGCATCTATAGAAGGAAGAAATCGGTTGCAAATTCCGCAGATTTTTGCGCTACGGGCTACAACCACAGAAAAATTCTGCGGTGTTGAGTTTTCATTTACATGGCGCTCTGGTAAGACAGATCGCGTTTGCTGACTCGGGTTTACGTACCGGTAGGTTTACGTTCTTGACTAATTTCAGCTTAAATGTTGGCTGGCGGCCAACTTTGTTGAAAGCGATTAGTTGAAAGGCTCTCCAACCAAAAGTAGAATTCAAAGTTGAACAATGCAGACGCCCTTTTATGGCGAATATTTTAATATTTTTAGCCATTTAATTTTTTTCCGTGCAACCCTGCGTGAGTTGAACACAAAAGTTGCCTGAAAAATCGCCGCGTGCGAAAGCCCCATTATGTAAACGACCCTTGTAAACATTTATATTGAATAACATCAAGAGTTTTAGAATCTGTGCGATAAATGTCGAGATATATGGATTTGAAGTGCTGCGTTTGACCTTTGACTTTGCGTAACCGTAGTTGTCGTTGCCCCCCAAAAAAATTATACCGTTATACTTGCGTCAAAAACCTATATCGACGCCCAGTTACTTTTTTATTTTTAGCGTCGTTGAGAGCATTGTGCATACATCAATGTGACAAGTGTTCTTCTTCTGATTGGAAACCGCCTGGAAAATACATAGAAATATCCTGTAAAAAGGTAGAAATAACCTGTCAAAATGTTAGACAGGGTGTTTAAAGGGATGTAGAAAAAGACTAAAGTTATTGAAATAACCATAAAAATTGGCCAAATATGCATTGATTTAAATGAATTCCCATGTTTACAGCAGTTTAATATATTAAAGCTTTTGGTCAATGACTCCTAAACTTAATAGAACTTTTCTTGAGGGTTTTGTCAGAGTCCGTTTAAAGTTTTTTTTATATATATTGAGTGTAACCCTGTAGCACATAGAATCAGGTGATCTCAGCTGTGAGGCATTTTGGGAAAACATCTGATTCTTTTTTCACTTGTAAGTAGCTGTGCGTATCGGCAATGAAAATTCGGTATATCGATATCGCGATATTCTAAATTTACAATATCCAACACCGATATATCTACTAAAATAATATCGATATATTGAATATCGGAAATATCGAAAACGAAATGGTTAATAAAGATATATTGGCGCGTATTCATAGTTCAGCAACTAAGGGCCATTTGCACCATGTCTAGTTAATTCTAATTCCCAGTTAAACATCTTTATCGACGTTATCGACATCCATCATTTAACATGTGATCGATAAAGCAGTTAACGTGCTTAACTGAAGGATGTACCTCCAGTTAGCGTTAACTAGACATGGTGCAAACGGCCCTAAGTGTTATGCACAAATTTACTTTAAAAGAACTAGCGTGAAGCTGACTTATTATTTGAGAATTTATCTAAATTATTCCAATTATTAAATTGTGATGTAGCTTTATTCGAATTGTAATACGCATTTAATTTCTTCTTCCGAATAAAATGGATCGATCTTTGTAAATTTTAATTGGAGATTATTCAATATTATCAAAATCACCCTCTACTAACTTTATTTTTACATATTTCGTCTGTTTTCCCTTAATTTGATAAAATACTTCTTCCTAGTTACGACTTAGTTGCAGCTGCAGCCGAAACTAAATTTTAAGTTGGTACTTAGCCAGAAAAGTCGAAACTAAGGTGACTATGAATAGCTTTAGTTGTGACTTAGAATAGTTTCGACTTAGTTGAGTACAACATGACTATGAATATGCGCCATTGTTTCGATATTTTAGGGCCGGTTTCCCTATCTCCGGTTAACACTAATCCCCCGGTAAACATCGTTACCGACCTTATCGACTCCCTGTTATATGCATGGAGTTAGAACGTCGATAACTATGTTTAACCGGAGATTAGTGTTAACCAGACATTGAGTAACCGGCCCTTAATGAGAAAAAGTGGCAACATTGCATTTTCGAGTATACAGTGGCTAGCTGCCATTATTTGGATAAAGAAAAGTTAAGAAAATTCAATATCGATGTGATGCTGATAGAAATCTGTATCAATTTGTGATCAATTCTGTTTGTTTTGTTTCCTAATTAAGTGAGGAAATTTGAATTGACAGCACCGACAAATGAATATATACCTAAATAAATGGTCGGTCATGGATAAAACAATTCAACTTTTTGTATTGAAGTTTTGGTTTAAAATTTATTTTTTCCTTTTCAGTAGGATTTTTGCACATTATCTTCTGCGTGAGAATTGATCGTAATAGATACGGATCTGAATAAGTGACTGGAACACGGCTGTTTGTCAAAAGCATACGATTTCGAACTCGCGTAAATGTACATTTGCTAAATGCGATAGCATGAACGCTCTTCGAAAACATATGTTCGAAAGTGCTAAATGTTGCATTTTAAGGGCCGGTTACTCAATGTCTGGTTAACGCTAATCTCCCGTTAAACATAGTTATCGACGTTACCGACTCCCTTTTGTATGCATGGTGTCGAAGACGTCGATAACGATGTTTAACCGCAGATTAGTGTTAACCAGACATTGAGTAATCGGCCCTAAATGCAGCAAAAACGGTGCATTAATCGGAAGATGAAATTAAATGCGTATTACAATTCGAATAAAGCTACTAGAGGTGTCAGACTATCGATAGGCACACCATCGATAGTTTTGATAGTTTTCAGAAAAACTATCAATATTCACGATAGTCTCGAAAAATACAAAACTATCGATAGCACTATCGACAACGCTAAATCAGTTAGGTTTCTTTGTTTTTACAGGATCATAGTGAAATAAATATTATCTCATAAAAGTTATATTCATTCAAAATTAAGTAACTGCTTAGCCAAAATACTTCTCTTTTTAGAAAGCTCAAAAACAAACACAAGTTATACAAACAAAACAGGACTTACGAATAACACATGTATGAATATTGGCCTAAATAAGTGCATATTTGAATATGACTAAAAAACAAAATTTTTAATTCAAATTAAAAAATGCAGGTATTACCAACAATAGTTCGATAGTCCTACTAAACTATCGATATTTTTGATAGTATAAAAAAAAAACTATCAATGAGTATTGATAGTCTAAAAAAATTGAAACTATCGACACTATCGATAGTGCCATCGATAGTTTGACAACTCTAAAAGCTACATCAGAATTTTTTAATTGGAATAATTTATATAAATTCTCAAATAATAAGTCAGTTTCACACTAGTTCTTTTAAAGTAAATTTGTGCATAAGATTTATATATCTACTATTTGTATGTCACAGCATGCTTTCGATAAACATCGACTTCACATCAATGCGGTTGTACTGGCTATTTCCCACAATTAACAAGAAAATTATACTTTATTCTTTTGCATAATCATGCAATGNAAAGCTACATCAGAATTTTTTAATTGGAATAATTTATATAAATTCTCAAATAATAAGTCAGTTTCACACTAGTTCTTTTAAAGTAAATTTGTGCATAAGATTTATATATCTACTATTTGTATGTCACAGCATGCTTTCGATAAACATCGACTTCACATCAATGCGGTTGTACTGGCTATTTCCCACAATTAACAAGAAAATTATACTTTATTCTTTTGCATAATCATGCAATGAAAATAAAAATTACATAAACGGATGATCAAACTTTACATTATTTAATAAAAATGTAATTTTTCCAAAATATCGTAAAGAAAAATCGATACATTTTCACACTCGTTTTGCTATATCGTAAACTAAGTCGAAACTACTTAGTAGAAGTCTGAAATGCGACTATGAATAGAAGTAAATTTTAAGTTGGTACTTAAATTTAAGTTGCAACTTTGTTAGTTTCGACTTAGTTGCTGGACTATGAATACGCGCCAATATTGTTTCGATATCGTATCGCAACTCGTGATATCGATATAAATTGACCGATATGATGAACAACGATGTTGATATATTGAATATCCTATCGGTATCGCGCATTCCTACTTGTAAGTATGCACAATGAAATGGTTGAGAGGGAAAATCGGTATGCTCCTATGGGCCCTGTCTCACGATCAATATGGATCGCGATCCAGTATCGTGATCCATATTGATGCATGATGCTCCACTCTCTGCTATGCTACACCTTCAATATTTATCGCGTCATTATTTTCAAACTTTTGAACTGTGCAAGTCGTTTTTAAATAAGAAAAATGCAAGAAAATTCAAAAAGAGCGTGTTTAGCCATATTACTGGCATTTTCATTAAAAAAAAAGAAACAAAGATGAAGTATGGGAGTCGAAGATGGTACCTGGAGCGGCATAGGTACACTCATTTGAGATTATTGGATTCGATTCGACTTTGCAAGGAATTAAGCGACTACGAAAATTACTTTCGGATCTCCACTGAAAGTTTCGACCATATTCTTGAATTAATCAGCCCATATATAACTAAGCAAGATACAGTTATGAGAGCTGCCATTTCGCCAACAGAAAAACTGGCGGTGACTTTGCATTATTTAGCAACAGGAAGGGATGTACCCAAATCTAATGATATTTGTTCACAACTTATTGTGATTATTTTACAGCTACTTTAAGCAGGTGCGGTATACAGCGATTATGTCGCGGCAAGCAATAAGCGAAGCGATCATGGATACATGTGAAGCTTTGATATACGCTCTTCGAAACTGCATTAAAGTAAGTGTACTAAATGATACACATGTACATATGGTATTTTGTTATAATTTATTCAGAAAACTGTGCAAATAAATACATATGATTTATGTAATAATTTTAGTTGCCAGGGAATGATGAAAAAAGAGATCTTAGTGAGTATTCCTCTGTGCTTTGTATTTCTTCAGTGGCACCTACTTCAGTATTGTATATTAGCATTGCTTGGCCACTTGGAGGCAATTGCGAGGAAAAACTAGATTGCGAAGATAGAATAGGAGACGGAGTATGCGGGTAGTTAGGTGTTATATATTCACTCTGCAGAGGCATTCCAAAATTGGAGTCTGGTGAAGGTGTTGGCGGTGGTACATAAATAGGTGGCGGTCTTTGGACTCGAATAGCTTTAATATCTGGTTGCGGTGATGATTCAGAGAAACGTGGTAATGGTGGTAATTGATTATACATTGTGGGTTCTGGTGTCGGAGCTGATGACACATCCGTGTTGCAAGCGTCTGGATATACAATTATTTTAACAGAGTTACGTCTCAAGTTTCCCAGTTCTGCTTCAAATAAAATATCATTAATTCCTTTTTCAGCTGGCATACGCTGCGTTGGATTTAGATGCTCTAATTTTTCACTCCAGTATAATGCCGTTGCGTTTATGTTTGTAGAACTTTAGGGTGCAGACAATAGGGAACATGCCTTTTCAATTAGCTCGTTTTGTTTAGCCACTGCACAATTTTTTTTGTTTTCCGAGGAGGAGCCAACTCGCTAATAGATGAAAAGGAAGTGTTAGATAAGTCCTCTCTATTTGTCTGCTCCTCAACTTGCAATTCGTCACACATTTTGCGATTCTACCTGGTTCTGAAAGAAAGAAAATTATTGTTAATNAGGGTGCAGACAATAGGGAACATGCTTTTTCAATTAGCTCGTTTTGTTTAGCCACTGCACAATTTTTTTTGTTTTCCGAGGAGGAGCCAACTCGCTAATAGATGAAAAGGAAGTGTTAGATAAGTCCTCTCTATTTGTCTGCTCCTCAACTTGCACCAATTCGTCCACATTTTGCGATTCTACCTGGTTCTGAAAGAAAGAAAATTATTGTTAATTAATAAAATTGATTTTAATTCTTTACATTTATGCCCGTTTGCACCAATCAATTTTAAAATTATCAGCCTGTTAAAATTTAAAATGATAAAATGTAGTTCGGAAAATTTGTCATTTTAAATTTTAACGGTCTGATAAATTTTAAAATTGATTGGTGAAACTGAGAGTTAATTTTATATTTTATTTATAAAATGGTTTTCAAATTTCTTTTTTTAGATGACTAGTACAGCAGAAGAGTGGAGTAGTGTTTCTGATGAATTTCGTGTATTACATAATTTTTATAACTGCATCGGCGCAGTTAACGGGAAACACGTAAAAATAAAGCGTCCAAATGGTTCGGGAGCGCTTTATTATAACTATAAAGGAACATACAGTATCGTTCTTATGGCTACTGCGAACGTTAAAAAGGAATTTGTCATGGTTGATATTGGATGCAATGGACGCGTGTCTGATGGTGGTGTCTTGTTTTACACTAAATTCTGGGAGCGTTTGCAACAAAATCGTTTAAATATACCGGAATGGACACCATTGCCAAACACCTCGATATCATTCCCATATGTTTTTATAGGAGACGAAGCTTTCGAGCTAGGCCCTAACTTTATGAAGCCTTATCCTCAAAAAAGAGTATCACAAGAAGAGCAATTGTTTAATAAACGGTTATCGAAGGCTAGATGTGTCATTGAGTGTGTGTTTGGTATCCTCGCCAATAAATTTGGAGTTTTCCAGAAAGCCATAAGTCTCAGCCCGCAGAAAGCCGCAAAAGTGACAGCAGCTTGTTTTTATCTGCACAATTATTTAATGAGAAAAGATTCTAATTATCAGGCACCAAATTCCAATGAGTATAATTTTCAATTAACCACCGTACAAAGCAGTTCGGCGCGAAATTCAACAAGATGTGCCAAAACTATAAGAGACAAATTTTGCAAATATTACAATGACGAATATAGATGCTAACTTTTGCCACTCAATTTTTATCACTTATGTATATGAAAAAAAAGAATAATAAAAGTTTTCACTTAAAACAACAGACAATCTACATACTACTTTCTTTTCTTTCCACCTTTATAGCTAGGTATTCACTAGAGTATGAGTAGAATTCAAGGAAATCTTTAAAACAAATTTACTTACCAGGTCAACAGGCTTCTCATTTTTATTTAAAAAGTGAAGAGCGTTAAATGTCCAAGACTTTGGAATATAAACGTCTTCTGTACCAGCTCCGGAGCGCTTGGAGTCAATAATTTTTTTCAATTCCTTTCGATAATTTGATCGTTAAGAATTTATTTTTTTCGGACATCACCTAAGATTAGTAATAATTTCTCATGTCCGGCCGTTCTTTTTATTTTATTCATGTAGCTTTTGGACGAAGGATGCCACAATTCCGGCATACTTTCCAATTGTAGGATAAACTCCTTCAAACACCTTTGGCCATTCGTTTATCCCAACACCGCCGGCTGGATATGTGCGCTTTCGTCGTCCGACATTATTAAAAATTTCCGCTGCCAAATAAATAATTATTCCGATAATTAACGTTTCGCCTTTAACATTTAAATCTCCACTTTATTTTGAAATACACACGTATTGACGTATCGCGAACGAAATATGCTACACGTTCAATATTTATTGACAGTACTGCGATCCGCGATCCAGATTTCAAAATTTCTAGAAATTTTGCGATATGGATCACGATCCATCAATATTGCATGCTACACAGTCAATAAATATCGCGATACTTGGATCACGTCAATAAATATTGATCGTGAGACATGGCCCTATGCGCGCTTGCACTGTCTGTTTATTCTACTCTAAAGAAGCCCAATAGCGACCATTAAAAATTAAGCATGGAATCTAGTACTGACGTGTATACAGATATAGTAATTTATTTGTCTTCAGGCTTGGAAAAAACAAATGTTAATTGGCATTTTCCACAATAATGGCGATCCTCATGAGCAGCCATAAACACTCCAACTCCACAATTTTTACCAGGGCACTCGCGACGAAGGCGAAGTATTTTGCCATTTTCATCGACCTAAATGAACAGTTTATTAATATCCTGTTTTACAATTCATCCTTCTCAGGGTAAGCATATTGTGAAGCGGCGAGCAAAACGTAAAAAGAGCACCTAGCATAGCGAAGAAAACAAAATTCGTTGAAAACGACGCTATGCTATTTTACTCTATCTACGTTTTGCTCTTTAGTATTTGCGCTCTCATAGATACATACACGTCATGAATGCGCCTTGGATACATCTCTACCATGAGGCATTTCTTAAGAGATAATTATCACAAATTATCACTAATTTCTGCTGGAAAGCGTTTCTTAACGCAAAAAGCTAGCAGAAACTAGCAGCTCTCTCTCGTTCTTACGCTCTTCTTTTTTTTGGCTCTCCCGCTAGCAGCTGTCAAAATGGATAAACAAAAATTCGCGCCAAATAGTTTCTGCTAGTTTTTCGTTTCTTTACTTTTTCGTTATTTCGCTCTCTGCGAGCGTAATTCCTACAATTTTCTCATTCTTCTTCTTCCTGATAATTATCAGCTAGAAAAGAAAAGAAACAAAGCCATGATTCAATAATACAAGGTTAGATAATTATTGACAGCCGCGGTTTGACACTCCCTTACAAAAGGTTGCATTTACGAAGGACAGAGAAAGGAGAAAAATGCAATCCCTTGTTGCAAAAATGGTAGTAGAAAAGTACGCAAAGTAGGCAATTAGTAGTGAAATTCCTTTTGTAAGTTCTAATGTATTTGCAGGAAATCTGGCATTTGAAACGAAACATTGAACGAAGTATTTATATATCTACGTGAATTACGTAATTTATGTGCTACTTAGCAGTATTAAAACTGTAAAAGGACTCAAAATTAAAATAAAACTACTACGAGATTTATGTAAACATCCAATTTAAATCAATTTATGTTTTTATCAGTTAAATGTGCTTCATATGCATGACTCAATAATACAAGGTTAGATAATTATTGACAGCCGCGGTTTGACACTCCCTTACAAAAGGTTGCCTTTACGAAAGACAGAGAAAGGGCAAGAATGCAATCCCTTGTTGCGAAAATGGTAGTAGAAAGGTACGCAATTAGTAGTGAAATTCGTTTTGTAAATTCCAATGTACTTGCAAGAAATCTAGAATTTTAAGCGAAATATTGAAGGAAATATTAATATATCTACGTGACTTACGTAATTTCTGTGCTATTTAGGTGTTTAAAAACTGCAAAAGGACTCAGAAATAAAATAAAACGACTATGAGATTTTGTAAACATCCAATTTAAAAACAATTTATGTTTTCTTCACTTAGGGCCGGTTACTCAATGTCTGGTTAACACTAATCTGCGGTTAAACATCGTTACCGTCGTCTTCGACTCCATGCATATAACAGGGAGTCGGTAACGTCGATAACGATGTTTAACCGCAGATTAGTGTTAACCAGACATTGAGTAAACGGCCCTTAAATGTGCTTCTATTTCACACCAAAGCTACACCTTTTCCAAGAAAATTTGCAAAGAAGCAACACGGTGCTGGTGCTAGGGAGCGGTGCGAGAGAGACAACTGTCAGTTTATCGAACCTTGTATTATTGAATCATGCATCTCTAAAACGTGCATACACGTTTGAAATCGACACTTTGCTAGCCGATTCACTATGTGCCTATAGGCATACCTTATAATATTTCAAAACGGCCAATTTGACCTTCTTCCTCCTATGCTAGATTTTCTTAGGTGTGGAGTAGTTCTTCTTCTTGCGCTTTTAGCACCTCCCCTGAGCCGAAGTACTAAATGTAAAGTAGATTCCTTTTGAATATTGTAACCGGCTAAGGTTCGCCCATCTTCCTATTGTTTTCCTGCGAAAATTAGGCGCTGTTGATCTGGGGGGATCCCTCCCTTGTCTTGAATTTTTGCCTTCACATGCTCAATTGTATCCGAAGGCTCAACCTCAAGAGTAATAGTCTTGCGCGTTAGGGTCTTAACGAAAATTTGCATGGCTGCAGTTCTAAAATCCTAATAAAACAAAAAGAAAATTTTAGGCCCACAAAAATACAAATTAAAAAAAATCTTTATGCAAGTTAAACTTAAATGCATTTCATTTATCCTACTTATTTCAAAGTTCACAGAATGAAGTCTTATACGGTAGACGGGCTCGATTATTTGCATAACCAGCCTTTATTTGCTTTAACTATGCATTTTCCTCTTTAAAATGAGCATAAGCAGCCGAACAAATGCACGAAATTTTTGGGAATTAACTCAGGTCCGGGGAATTTTCGATGTCAACACTGGTAAAAAAGGCCAGTTTTTGTCTTTTGTACAGCCCGCAGAAAGCCGCAAAAGTGACAGCAGCTTGTTTTTATCTGCACAATTATTTAATGAGAAAAGATTCTAATTATCAGGCACCAAATTCCAATGAGTATAATTTTCAATTAACCACCGTACAAAGCAGTTCGGCGCGAAATTCAACAAGATGTGCCAAAACTATTAGAGACAAATTTTGCAAATATTACAATGACGAATATAGATGCTAACTTTTGCCACTCAATTTTTATCACTTATGTATATGAAAAAAAAGAATAATAAAAGTTTTCACTTAAAACAACAGACAATCTACATACTACTTTCTTTTCTTTCCACCTTTATAGCTAGGTATTCACTAGAGTATGAGTAGAATTCAAGGAAATCTTTAAAACAAATTTACTTACCAGGTCAACAGGCTTCTCATTTTTATTTAAAAAGTGAAGAGCGTTAAATGTCCAAGACTTTGGAATATAAACGTCTTCTGTACCAGCTCCGGAGCGCTTGGAGTCAATAATTTTTTTCAATTCCTTTCGATAATTTGATCGTTAAGAATTTATTTTTTTCGGACATCACCTAAGATTAGTAATAATTTCTCATGTCCGGCCGTTCTTTTTATTTTATTCATGTAGCTTTTGGACGAAGGATGCCACAATTCCGGCATAC